GACCTCGGGGCACTCAGCAACAGGCTGAACAGCAGCCACCCCACAAAAACCCTTCTCTGCCAGACTGCCAAGAGAAACAGCCGAGCCGCAAGTCACGGGCAGAGTGAACGTGCTCAAGCTCAGATGAACAGGGCCTGGGAGTGGTTCTCTCCCTACAAAGGCCATTTCCCCTCTCTTGCCACTCACACCTCCCCACCAGCTCCTTCGGGGCACTCAGCAACAGGCTGAACAGCAGCCACCCCACAAAAACCCTTCTCTGCCAGACTGCCAAGAGAAACAGCCGAGCCGCAAGTCACGGGCAGAGTGAACGTGCTCAAGCTCAGATGAACAGGGCCTGGGAGTGGTTCTCTCCCTACAAAGGCCATTTCCCCTCTCTTGCCACTCACACCTCCCCACCAGCTCCTGGGACCGAGCCACGTCCGCCGTCTGAACCGGCCTCCTTAACACTGGTCCTGGACGTGACTAGCCCCTCTCTTGACACGCTTGTCCACAAATACCCCTTCCTCTGCCATTTCCTGACCAAGTGGGTTTTACCCACGAAAGCTTCTGCCCAAATAAACCCTTTAGTGTCTGAGGGGCCCATGAATCCTCGTGGTAACTGCTGCTCAGTTTCATTTCATCTCCACATCCTTCCTGTCACCTCTCCCAAAACCACTGCTCCACCGCAGCCACACCAGCCCCGGGCGCTGGGTCCTGCCCGCTCTCTGGGCAAATGGGAAAGGTGCAACCTGACTAGTTCTCCTCGCTCTAGCCCCCTCTGCTCCCTCCTCTCCCCACGCACACTAAGCGGCCGCCCTGCAGAATCCCACCTGCAGACCGGCATAGGAGCAGGACGATCAGGGCTCCGGAGCGGATTCCTTTTCAGCCCGATTACTGCCCCGACTGGCAAGCCGAGGCATGGCACGTGGACTCGAACTCGGAGCCAGACCCCGGCTGCTCTTCACAGCTCTCCCCAGAGCAACGCCGACTGACACCAGCTGCCGACTCCTGCAGAGGCCGCTGATGCCAGGCGGTGCCATCTGTGGTGGGTTTTGTAACGGGGACGCTGGGAGCCAGCATGCACAAGGCTCAGAGCAAAGAGCAGATGGCAACGGAGGTTACTCAGCTGCCC